GGAAAATCTCCCTTTATGTTTGCCTAAAGTATAAAATAAACCTTAGGAAAATAGTACTTTTAAATTCAAAATACATGCTTCACTTGAAAAGCAATGGTTGACATCTTTGCAGATGACAACCATGTTTCCATATGTTAAAATATTAGGGTGTTGTGGGTGACCTAGTTCAAATCCCATCAACCCATCTGGTGAGGGTACAGTACAACCCCAACAGTTTACCGGTGCATTCAACATTGTTGATCCTTTCCCTTTTAATTGCTATGGAGAATGAAGTTGTTTTGAGCTCAGTGTCTAACTCCAAAATCATTGGAAATCAGATTTGTTTTTTGTTTTTTTTGTTTTTTGTTTTTTTTGTTTTTTTTTTGCAGCTCTTTTAAACAAGGTAAAACAAGGTATTTAGCAAACAAGCAACATTTGTATTTTGGTTAGTGAGAAATTATGTGGCTTCTATGTCTATTCATATACAATTTAAGAACAAAATATGAGCAAGATGACTGAAATAAGTTGCAGCATCAGTGTCAGCACACACACTGATGATAGTGATGTGAGTGGCTGTGGCAGAAATGGGAATGAAAACATAAGTAGGTCGTTCCTGTTGACCTGACTTACAATATCATCACACATTGACTGTGTGTGAATGAGTTTAGTTGTGGAACTATACTTTTTTTTACACAGTGGAAAAACTTTCACTGGAACACTAATCCCGAAATTACATCGATTGGTGAATGGCATAAAACAACTTTTGTATTTACAGTATTATGTCAATCATGCTAGGTTTGAAGGCCAATGACCATTTTCAAGTTTCAGATTATTTAGAACCTCACCAATTGTTTTTTCCACCTTAAAAAACATTGAAACTTACTATTTGTTCTTATCACTTGCAAAAGATTTTAAAATATTCTTCCTATGAGCTCCTTTATAATAGCTTCTTTACTTCACCTTTTGTGGTCTCTCCTGCTTTTGGGATTTGCCCTTCACCAGTACAATAATCTGCTTTAATAGCAGCAGAGGCTGCAGCAACACGGTGCGACAGATTAACCCTGGACCTAATGGAATCTGCAAGAACAGCTTGTCTTCTCAGGTCATACTCTCTTCTGCCAAGGTCAATGCACAGCTATATGAACAGCCATGACCAGAGCGAGCAAAGACAAATTATTATTCTACAGGAGACCTCTGCTAAATATTAGTCTTGGCCACTGACGGGAGAAAGATAAATGGTGCAGTACTTTCGTGGAAGAAATTCCTTTTAGTGTCATCCACAACTTACAGGCCTGCAGGTATAGTAGCAAAGAGTCAAATTAGGAAGAAAAAAAATATATATATATACGTGGCTAACGACCATGCACAGGAGTGAAGCTTTAAAACTTAAATAAATCACTCTGGTACTTTGCTGAACTACGGGGAGAATTAATTTCAATTCATTTCTGAATCTCGTTTATATCTTTATATTCTCGTTTTCTCTCCCTCTACCTTCTCGGCCTCACTTGCTCCCTCCCTGGGCAAATTCTCCGGAAGGGTAACAAGTTGGCCGAACTGTTGAAAGAGGCCCTTAACGTCTTTGTCAGAATCCAAACACCCCGCCTTTCCTGATCCCTAATCCATCATTTACCACTCCAGCCGTGACCAATCACAACCTTTAAGGCCCCCCAAAGCAGTCAGTCACACTCAACAGGATTGTCTGAGTGATTATGATAAAGGCTGACAATTGTGATTGTATGGTCTCGTGCCTGTGTGTGTGTGTGTATGTGTGTGTGTGTGTGTGCATGTGCAGCAGGGCTGTCAGTGATATCTATGTGTGACCCAGATTGAGTACGGTGAAATTGGATGTGATTGTTCGCGGCCCAGGAATTTATAGGGCACAAAACCAAAGCTGGAGATGTCAGGGACACATTTCATTAGCATCGCTAATCCACACACACGGATCAAAATGTCAAGTCTATTATTATATCATTGCAAAAGAGAATAGTGTTTTGTGTGTAATTTGAAAACTAAAAACTTATTTCTGTTTTTCTTTCTTTCTCTCTTTCTCTTTCGTTACTAACTTGTGAAGTTTAGAAACATTTCTCCATTTGAAACCAAGTTCAAATCTGAAATCAATGTAATGTTCACTGTAGATTTCTTTATTTATTAATGCCTGGGTTTAGCAAAAAGTCTCTCTCTCTTTCTCTCTCTCTAATCCTGCATTACCATCAACTTGTAACATTGTACTTAGAGAAAGTGAGTGTCATTGGGAAATTATAATTTCCTAAAGTGCTGTGTGCTAATTGCGACCTTGACAGGATAATGGCGTGTTTTCGACATAAAAGCATACGCACAGAGCTGTGAATCTAAGGTGAGCTGGAGTTTGATGTAGGAACACAGAGCTGCATGTTTCTGCTTGATTTTTTTGCCTGACAAAACCCTCATCTCTTCCCCTGTGTGTATAGTTTAAACTGTGCTTGGTAAACCAATATCACAGCAAAAATATGCCATAATATATATTATACGGAATGTTTGGAAACATTTATAACATGATAATTTTGCATAATCTAAGCAAAAACAAAGATAACGGAAAAATAAAACTTGAACTTTAACCCTTAAATAAAAAATAAACTCAAATCAGATTTACATCAATTTACTCTATAAAAGATGAAACATGAACACCTGCTTTGTTGATAGGATTAATCTTTGTCTCAAATAACTATTTGGGGTCTTTTTTAACAAACCCACTCTGCTCATTCTCAAAATTGTCCATGGCAACACGGTGCACATCTTTTTCATATTTAATGATTAAAAAGCACAGCATGTGAGGGAAAATGAACTGAAGTGGAAACAAGCGAATGGTGTGAACTTTGAAGGAAATCCACTTCTGTTTCTGAAGGGTGCATATAAAGCATTAAGTGGTTGCCACTCGTGGTCCTTTGCTGCCATAATTGCGACACTGTTTTTTTTTTAACCTGGCCCTTTTGGACCGGGCAGACTGTGAGAAGCGTCATCTCACATTTTGATGTCACCAGCACTCTTTTATCACCACCCCGTGACCCAAACCAAGTGAGTCAGAACTTTAAGCCTAATACTTGTGGAAATAATTAATTTTTGACTCGGTTGACTAGTTTTAAATGTCATCTGATACCGTTGCTAATATTTACATTTTCCTTCAAATACAATTGTGTAGCTTTTCAAAGCTTCTTAAAATATTGTAAAAAAAAATCTATAAATTCCATAAATCCTCTGCAGTACCATGGGGACCAACTAGAGGTCGCAGACCTTCTGTTGCTATGCATTAGAAGGTATTAAGTTGTTGGTATTAGGGCACTTTGGGAAAAAAAGTAATAAATGCATTGCATTGCAAAACATGCATTTTGTTTAAAAGAAATAAAAAGCAATCCTGACCGAAAATTGTCATTCTAATCCCATAGCAATGATTACTTTTTTTTTTTTTTTTTGCAGTATGCACAAGGTCACATAGTCAGAACTGTATCAGGTCAGAAAGAAAATGCTAGAACTAACACATACTTTAGGAGATTTGAGAGGTACTTTTTACTTCTACCGTGAACACGCTATTGTAGTGTAATTGATTCCAGTTCCCACGCTCTGTCTGCAGGTGGTGGTGTGGAGGAGTGGGGGGGTTGACAATGCCACTTAAAGATGTTGAAGGGAAACAGGAAAAGAGACAGCGCCAATACCATTGTTGCTATTTTTGCTCACCACAGTGACAGTGGCAGACCAAACTTCCTGGTGTCGTTTAGTGTTGTGTAAACAAAGTTGAAAAATAATAAAAATAAATGCTGTACACTTTAAGGCCTGGCACAAAATGTCACGCTTCAAGCTTTAACGTAGTGAAAAGTTTGACCTGGTGCTACAGTGTGCAGCTGCAGTGACCTCTCTCCTCGAAAGCCCATTGTCCTGCACATCAAACACTGAACCTTGGATTTCCTTGATCCCTGTGACCTGTAGCAGGTGAGAAGGATCAGCCGTAACGTTGAGCCCCGTGGCAGCCAGCTGTCACACCACACGCCTCAGCACACGCACACTGAGGCATGCCCACACAGGCGCTCCTATGCACTACTTTACGCCTGGGCACACAGTGCAGGGGAGTAACTTGGCCTCTGGGAGGGTCCGAAAAACAGATGATGACACAGTTTTGGAGCCTACAGCTGCAGGACCTAAAACTGTACATGTGGACACATAACTCTGAGCATGTGTTACATACAGGCCAACGCACGCACAAAAATGTTGGAAACTGTGCCATGCAACCCAAAGTGTCTACACAGCTCTCTGTTTAAATAACACTGTCAAACTGCATTTCACTTAAGTGCAAAAAGACCAAACATTTTCAAACTCCCAAGCCACTCACGCTCATTTCCAGCGCCCAAGTTCACCACAAACACATTTTTAACCATCCTTCAAAGCGACGTCTGTTGTCTTAATGAGTCTGGTGGCTCAGGAAACACACATTGTGGCTGCTAGAATTGGGTCACAAACAAGACTTTTACACACAGACTAAAGCAGACGTCCTCACATGCCTAGATGCATAAATTTACTGTATGTTTCTATTTTTGTCCCAATGTGTTACATTTCTTTTTTATCTCAAACCCCATCTGCATTAATCAAAGTTACTTCACTCTGTGTTACTGGAATATAAAGGATTACTGGAATGGTTTCTCAATATCCCAGATATTCCAACACACTGTGCTGAAATTTTACCTCTTCCTGCAAAACTTTCTCCATCGCTATGATACAGATGGCTTCACATCCCTCATTGGCTGAGTCCTGAAGCCACTGCTCTGTCATTATCATTCCTGCAATGCTGGCTGCTCCACTGCTTCCACTCCTAATTTCCACTGAGAATAGTTTTGTGATCTGAGATGGAAGCTTGAAGCAAGCAGAAAGCCCCTGGAGACTCTTGCCGACTTTGTCAAACTTAAGACAGACTGAGACACTGGGACAGGCCCCTACAGTGTACTGTGCGTTAGAAAAGGTAAAGAGAAGAAGCTGTTCTCTCTGCCCACTGCTCTTACCTTCCACATGATTAAAATCCCATGGTCCACAAACAAAGTGAAAAGAAGACTAAGAGAAGAAGAGCAAGGACAGATTGGAGGCTATCTTTGGCTCCCCTGTCTCCTGTGTGGGCTAACAGCAGTGAGAGCAGCAGCAGTAGCAGAATCAGCAGCGACCGGCAGAGTTAGTCTGTGAGGATGTGTCTCTGTGGCAGTGTCATCACCTCTCATGACATGTTTCCTCCCCTGCCTGTGTGAAAGCCTTTCCACCCTGAACCCGGCTCAGAGAGAGAGAGAGACACAGCCAGAGAGAGGGAGAGAGAGAGAGTGAGCCGGGGCAAACTATTGCACCGCCCACCTCTTTATCTCCCCGCCTTACCTCCTCCTCCTCCCCTGTCCATCCCTCCCCTTCTGTTTCCCTGTATTCAAATCTGCCAGTGGGATGCCCTGCCTCTAAGTAGGCCAATCACTGAACCCGTGACAGTGGAGTCACTGATGTGGAACTCAATGATTACTGTATGTTTCTGTGACATGAGCACATTTCTGCTTGAGGTACGTATATTCCCTCTCTCCCACTTGGACGTGCACTTGGCAGAAAGTCTGCTGCAATTTGAGTTTAATTCCCAGTGTTTGTTTAATGTTTGACAAAATTCAGGAACGGCTCCAGCAGAGATGCTACCCTCTGTCTGTTTTTTTTTTCTTCTATTTTTCTCTTCTCATTCAATTGAACCAGTGAGTGGCAGTAATGCCAGTTAAAGCATTCAGAACTCCTGTTGGATGTCTCAGTGTAAAGCTTCGTTCTGTGCTGTAGCATCACCCGAGAGAGAATTTGCATTTCTTCTACATATGACCAAAATATATTCTTGAAAATATACTGTATCTATCCATATATCTAGCAATAAATATATGTGTCACTCTATGATTCGCCACACTATAATGGTGGACATAGTACAGGAACCTTTAGCTTCCTGTGCCAAAAGTCCCAGCAATAATCCCCACTCATTGTCTTTCACACTGATTTAAAAATGATTTTCCTTCTCGGGTTGTTATATTTGAATTATTTGCAGTTATTATAACCCCTTTAGATTTCAAAGCGCTTTCAATTTTAAACATCTGAGTTAGAAGTTGACAGTAAGTCATTTTCCATTCACTGGATATCATCATTACTGTAATTACAAGTTTCTGACTTCCAACTTGGCAACGCACCGTGCCTAAAACCAAACAAACATGGCTCGTTATAAATCCAACTTTTATGGAAATGGTCTTTTTGCTGCCAATCACATTACTGTCTGTTCATTTTTCATGTTGAATAATAACCTTTAAAGAGAGGGAAAAACAAACCATTCTTCTCTTTAGCTTCAGTAGACACAGCACTGGACCAATTTAAAATTTGTAAAAAAAAAAAAATTATAATAAAATATCTCTTTTATGGGAAAATATATTTTATAGCATGTCCTCTGTAGAAGTCTGTCATTCTGCAGTTTGTATTTGTATCTTTTATGACTCATTCACACACCTTGAAACATCAGCTGTTTTTGCAGACATTCATAAACAAACTCTCTTTATTACGGCCCTGAAGGAAAGCAGCTTAAATTAATCTCCAAGACACAGGTCAGTCATTCAGCCTCCCACTCCATGAGCACAGGCCCTGTCATTCACCACAGTCTTTTGTATCCTGCCCACCGTGCTGTTAAACACCTCAGTGTGAAAACAAAGGTCACTTTAGAGGCAACAATAAGAGAAAAATTAGTCTAAACTTTGAAGGAAAAAAAGCTAAAGTACTGCTAAACTGCAGCTCAGGAAAGATTTGTTCTATATCATACAGTACTTTATATCTTACCCCGCCGGAGTACAGATGATTTTTAAACACCACAATTGGCGTTTGTTTTATTTTCTTTTTAAATTCCCATCCTGAACTGGAGCTCTGAAGATCCAGAAAATCCAGAATTGAATTTCAGGCATCAGCACAAACCGTTCTAAGTGATAAGTTCCAGACAGCAGCACAGTAGCACAAGTGAAAATGCCTGTAAAACATAAAAACAACTGTCAGAGCTTTAAATCTGTTGAGATGATATTTAAAAATCTAAGTGACTGAATGGAGAGTTTTACTAAGGATAAGTGTCTTAAAAGAGAAAAGTTATGTTTTAAACAAATATTGTTGCAGACATCTGAGGTTAAAAAGTGTTTTTCTGACTACCAAGCACCAGTGGATACACAAATGTAAATCCATACTTCTTTCGGAGACAGTGTTTTATAGGTGGCACAGCTCTGTGTAATAGGATGACTTCCAGTGTGTGAGTCCAACCTAAACCACAGCGAGGAAAATGCTAACGGCTAGTTTTCGTGAATGTTTCTTGAGGCAGTGAAAACTCCATAGAGATGTACTAGCACATAGATGCATTGTCAGGTGTTTTTATCGAATGCCAGTAACAGGACCAGTTTATTGAACTGCAGTAGGAGAACACATGACCCCTATAGACCACTATGCAGATGATTGTGCTGGAAAGTTGTTACTGTTGCTGGATAGATATGACGTATTAGACCCAAAGCTGGTCTAAGAATGATAAGAATTCTCAATTATTCTTATCAAAACCCATAAATGTAGTTTTGACGGACTCGTTGTCCCAGACAGCTCACAGCATTTGGAAATTTGATGACAGGAAGGGAAGAACTGCAACAGACACTCAAAGATCAAAAACTACATTTATATTCAGGCCATCATAGTGTAGAACCTGTTTGTTAGGCTCATTATTCTTCCTGAGGCAAGCAGATCTTTTAAATTGTTAAACTGAGGCTTGGAATCTACATGCACTAAAATTTCCATTCACTTATAATATCATTTATATCAATTTAAATGTTGCATTTCTGAAGGATCTGTCATTAAATGGACTTTAATTTCCTTGAAGCTGAGGGAAAATAGTTATTTTCTCAAGTTAAACATCAAAAGCCTCCTTTTAGCGTCCTCCGAAATAACAGTGTTTCACCTTGGTCTTTATTGTTCTGTCTTGCCGCGGGTGATATTCTGATGATCTTCTAATGACATTGTAAAAATAGGAGTGGTGTGAATAGAGTTCAGAGGGATAATGACTTCATTTTGTCAGCACGATGACCAAGTGCAAAAACCCATTTTTAGAAGTGGTAAAAGTGGTTTTTACAATCTGCACTTACCAAAAAAATAAAAATAAGAATCATTAACTAAACAATACTTTTTTCATTGCAAAAGTAATGTTGGAATGTTTTACCAGTGAAATTATGGGAAATTTGGCTAAAAATTATGATTACCATCAATAGAGTTTGACGAAGCAGGTTGACTTGGACCAGGTCCTAGTCTCGTTTTATATGATGTACCCTCGTGAATTTGTTGTCCAATCATTGTTGTCTTCTATTACTATACACAACTATCTGTGTATACCGTACATACTTGAATGTCCTCTATTTGCTGTTCCTGTGTATTTAAGGTGTTGAACCTTGGCAACCAGAACCTGTTGTGACCCGACACCTTCCAATTTGACCTCAATTTATTATTTTCTTTATTATTTTTTTCATTATATATGCAATTGGAATGCATAGCTCTGTGACATCATGTCACTTCTGTCACCCCTGGTTGATTTTATATAAACCCAAAGTCAATGGAAAGACAGCATCTGTGGTCAAATTAGGGCATCATCCAGCATTTATAATAGTACGGGGGTCACAGCAGGGGGAGAACGTCAGATGAATGGTGGAAAAACAGTGTTATTTATTAGTACTGTATTGTTACTATTACCATAAATGCCTTCAATCTCAGTATTGGGAAATGTTCTTTTTGCTACACATAAACATGTGTGTTAAGACAATGGATCACGTTGCAGTCTATTATGAGTCATGATTTTTCAAAGCTTTTCCAACTTCTCTAAAGGATTCTATTCAAAAATTGATCGAAAACGTAAAAGTGCTGTTCTTAGCTGAAAACCTCTGTCTCCACTTTCTCAACTCTCCCGTGACTCCTCAACAAAGTTAGTGCAGCTTGGCCTCTACTTTTAAGTAGAGAGTGGTCTTATTTTTAACAACCAGGAATGAGTGGAATGTTTTGGAGTCTGCCTCTTTTCTTGGGGTGAAACCATTATGGGTTTAAGACACGACAGGGTTATGACCACGACCTCTGCAGAGGGCACCGACGCTGTGGGGCACTCAGAGGTGTTTGTGGGATTTCGTGGATCACACCAGCACAAAATGTCATGACAACATCTACTTTACACATTTCTTTGTTGACCCTTCAGGTCACATAAATGAATACATTGTGGTCATGCATGGACAGAGCTCATGAAAACACCCACGTGTGCATAAAAACGCATATGTGCTTCATCAGCATATCTTCCAGAGGCATCTTTATGGTTTGAATATATATAGAGCCTTGAAACCTCCCCAGTCCCCGATAACTGCCCTGAACAATACATTAGATATGCATTCACATGGCATGACTCATGGGAGGTTAGGAGATATGTCTTACAGCTGTTCGAACGTTTACTTTCAAGATTGATTCAAAGAAGAGACAAAAAAGTGACCTTCTAGAGCACTTTCTCAGTGACAGGTTTTTTTTCTTTTTTTCAGAAATGGTTAACCTCAGTCTGACTCCTAACTTTCAAATAGCACCCCGTCATACTGGAGGTAAAGAGCTGGTTTGGGTTACAGAGAAGTTTGTCCAAGAGAAAAATGCTGCAGCATCTTTCAATTTTCTGTTGATGTAAGGTGACTTTAGACAAAAAACATCCTCATTGGGAAACAATTTAGACAAACAAACCAAAAAAGGGAACAGTTTGAGGATAAAAGGAGAGGTAGTGAGATGGGAGGTGGATACATGTGTGTGAAGGAGACTCCTCTATGTAAATGGATGGACAAGTTTCAATATAACAAAGAAACAAGGACGCTTCTTAGGAAGATTTAATGATATCACACTTCACACATCCTGTCCTTCCTCCTAAAACATATTCCAGAATGATCTTATTAGTCACAGAAAGTCAAATGTTTTTGGTCATTTTTCTAACTTTTCCTTGAGCCTACACTCAGGTACTCAGATTTCTGCTACATCCCTTAAATCTAAGAAGAAGAAAAAATCCCACCATCAAAATGAAACACGGTGCACTGTCCTGAGTAATGCAGTCGCCTGGTGAAATATTAACGGCCCATAAAGGATGCTTTGGAAAAGTAAAGCATAGCCGATTATAGATTCTGAGAGGAGATGCAATTTAAAAAGTATGCAAGGGTGTGTGTGGGGAAAAACTTGTACAAGTCTTTTTGCAGAAATAAGTTTGTGCAAAAATAAATCACGGACTGTGTTTAAGAACCATTCCATCGTTTCATGGTCTGAAGATTCACCTGCTCTGAGTCTGAGTTTGTCTACTTTTCTCTCAGGTCATTTGATTTACATTAGAATGGTGACATACTGTTGGCCTTTTCACTCAGAAGGTGAGATTTATAGGCTGAATTCGGAACATCAAACACATCCTCTGGTGGAGAATCTGTAAAGATGTAGAACAAACTGCTGAACTGTTGTCAGACATCGTAAATCAGACGCAGGTCAGATCAGAACCTGTAAAACTGATATTTGTATTGACTGTCATCTCGAGAAAAGGATTGCTAAAAGTGAGAGCAAGTTTGAGCTCTGACCCTGATCTTGTCATTCAGGCATAAGTGTGAATCACAGACTGTGTCTGTGGGTGTCAGGTAACATCACTATTAGCACTAATCATGTCCCTTGTGTCCTGGAACTGTCATGTAGCATCTTGTCGCTGCTTCTTTGTCTTGAGTAAAAGAAACACTTAATCTTACTCAAATCAACCGAGCGTATAAACTGATTCTCACCAGAGCAGAAAAATGATTTGGAATAATTAAAGGATTCATTTTTTTACTGTTAAAATAAATGCAAAACTAAATGTCCAAACTCACTAAGTTTGCTGCAGGAACCATAGCAAATACATTTTGATTCATTGGTTTGGAATCATTACCAGGTAAAGAGGAGTATTCAAGGACATTATGTACCTTAGATATACTGTACTGCATACTGTCAAAATGATTTAATTAACCAGGATGTACATGTACTCGATTGCGCCCCTGCAGTACAGATCTGTCTC